CGACAGGATTTATGTATCAAATGGACCTAAGTGAGAGACCATATTTTACTTTTCTCACTCCTTACCTCAACGATCACTGCACCCCAGTGTCTTTCTGAACGTTTACGCTCGATAATTTTTTAAATTTTACACTGATGTTAATTATCAAACCATTTGTCTCGACAGACGTTTGGTAGATGACTCAGATATATTTTGATTTCATCATATTCACCGCAACCATCCTACGGGACGTGTCAAGTACTTGCTTTTATCCCGTGATAAATCATTTTTCATTGTCTTTTTGCTCACTTAATCACCTATGGCGATATCAGTTTATTGACCAAAACAGAACGTGTGACTCTTCAGCGCGGGATGAGAGAACTGGGCATTGTGCATTGATGAGGGTGACAGACTGCACGGACTTGGATACCGATGCCTGCGAAGCGTTACTCACTGCAGAGCGAACTATATCTAGGCTCACTGGTTAGTAGTGGTGGTGGGGCTTCAGGGGAATGCGATAGAAACCCCGCAGTACATCAACCATTTATGCTGACCTGGTCAAGTTCTTTGCAACCCTGTCGATCCCCTATACCAGCCTGCATTTTGCGCCAATACTGTAGCTAGCTGCATGAATCCCAAGAGCAAACAGGTGAAATGTGATAGAGGAATGATGAACTCACTCGAAAGTCACGCTAGTAGGTGCAGTCTTGCAGGGTTTTGGAATGAGAGCCGTCACATAGTGGTTAGCAGTCACACGCAAAACGGTTTAGTGGCACTCGTGCAGTCTGCCCCTTACCTTCAAACAAAAGTGGACTACTAAACAATGCAAAGGTTTTAGATATCTAGTACATTGTTGTACCGCTGTTAGATTTTATTAACAATGAAAGAACCGAAATAGCGATTACTTCTAGAGACCCAGAACAAGGACCCGTTGGTGAATCCAACGTTACGGCTTGGTAGTCACCGTTTAAAACTTCCCTCTTATATCCCATCAAGTGTTTCCATCAGGTAGCGGGATGAACAAGAACCAGATACACGAGAAATGGGAGTAATTATCGTCTCTGACGTCGTATACAATCAGCAAGCGTTGGCCCACATATGGAGGAAGAAAATCAATTCGGATTTTCGACAGTGTTTCCTGGGTAAGTGGATCAGACAAACATACATTCGCTCGTTCGCTTACCTGTTTCAGGTGGATCGTAGTGCAAACATAGCAGGTTTCCAAGGCTTTATCCCCTGTACATGCATTTCCACGATCTTTTATTAGCTGTGGAGGGTAACTTCCTTAGTTATTTGAGTTGTACTGCGGTGCAACGACCGAGGTGGATTTGCGTTATTTCGTGAGGAACACCGACGGTACATTTGGCAGAGACAGAGACGTTTCTTAATGCTAAGGTCATCAGCCGTGAATATCTCAAAGCAACATCAGCTGACAAGCAGACGTAGTCATGTACTTCCAATTGGAATGGAAGGTGGCACACAGAGTGAAGCACTAAAGGTATGAAATGCAGTTAGAATAGTGAACGTTACCTGTCAGCTTTTGTGGTGCTAATGGGAGTTAGTTTCTACTTGCGGTACATTTCGAGCTTTAATCGATGGCGATGGCACTTGGAACCGATCGAAACAACACACAAGTATAGCGATCTAATGCTCGCAATTCATGGTCACGGTAGAAGCAATGAGAACGTGGTAGGAAGCAAGCACACCACACAGCGAGGATTGTAGCAAACTATAGGTCCCGCTTCACACGAAGATTGGCAAAGTTCGTGACAACTGATAACTGATCGTCCTTCACGAAAAGGGGTCATGTAGTGCCACCCAAGAACTTATGTGTTGGTGGGACAATAAAAGAGGGCTCGGACGAGCTAATTAGTAATAAGGAATGCCATCACGGTGGTTGGGCGGAGCACATTCGAGAGAAGTTTAGTTGATCCATCCCTCCTGGACCTATTTATGCCCCGGTGTCACAGGCCGGACCATGGTCGGGTAGTCCAGAGTGTCCATTGGGGCTGAGAGTCGCAACGCAACCACAACCATTAGTTATTTTGCTCTGCTCGTTTAGATTCTATAGCACCCGAAATGTTTAGCGACGGTGGTGAAGTCCTCCACAAAGTAATGAGTCCCTGTGGGAACAGGTCTAGAAGGAACAGACCAGCCCAGTCAATTAGAATGAATCCTTCATAGTTGTAGAGGTAAGAACGGCAGTTTCACCGAATGTACTAAGCGTAGGAGTATCGGCCTAAGGTCGGTTGTGGTTAAACTAGTGGCTGTAATTCTCGTCCATCGTTTGATTGTGGACCTTAATTCAGGAGTATGGACCAGCAGGCAGGTTACCACGCAGGGCAGTTATTGTAACAGTGATACACGTACATCAGACCGCATAAGTGCATTCGACTCAGTCGATCTGTCCATTCTGTTCGATATACTTGCGCGCAAAGGGGCTCCCATGAGATCTGTGAACAGGTCGCGTTTGGGTCTATGAGGACTAGTCGGATGTCTTTCCGGGGACGATAGGCATCGGCTCAGTTTGTTCCATTTTTGTTTTCTTTCTTCGTGGAGTGTTCCCTTGTGGAATTTCACGATGCAGGCATTGAGTTGCCATCTGGGAGAAAACTAGTTGATATTGATTATGCGAATGACGTTGTCTTGCTGTTTTATAACCTCGCGGTGGCCTACTCAATCTTGGATAAAGTCTCGAGTGTGCTCCTAGCATTCGGAATACGCTTCACGTCCTCGAATTGCAGTGTTGATGTAGGACCAACAGCCACTTGATCTCTTGATCCTTGAGTACAAGGAACTGGAGATAGTTGATCTATTGACCTAAGTTGGCAGCTGTGTCATCCCGGATTTGTTTGTGAATGCTAACACTAGTTCATATACTGCGAAAGCTAAAACCGCCTCCATGAACACACGACATCTGGGATGTCAAAAGGGTCTGGAAAACCATGTGTACGAGGCCACAGTGAAGGCCGTCTTATTGTACGACCTGAAGAATTGATGCCCTTACAAATCTTTAACCATCGTTGCCGGATGGCCCTTGGCATATTCGCGACAATGACTTGTGCAGGCTGCCAGTGCGCGTTGATAAGCAGGGTAATTCCGCTGTGGAACATCTAACGTTGAATAACTCACGTCGGTCTGGGCACATGTTGAGTATGCCGGAACATGGCCTAACCAGATGGGGCTTCATTCGTTTACCGGATGTTGGATAGCGTGAACCTCGATGTGAGTAGAAGTTAATTTGCCAGCGGAAAATGAAGTCACTGGCTACTAAAATGGGTGCTGTTGGTCCGTCTCGCCTTCTAGATTGGAGTCCACGCTGCCCGCCTTTTACTTGGATAGAAACTTTACAGGGTAGGACTCACGGTCGTCACCAGTGACAAGTTTGCTGTGCCTGATGCTGTCACCTGCGGGGTGTTGGCTGCCTTACCGATGCTGTCTTATCCTCGCACGATCGCAGATGTTTTTGACCGTGTGTTATTGACAAAATGTAGGCACCATGACTCGAAATATCTGCTTAGGGTAATTAAGCTCTACACTAGATTCTCCTCTCTCTATACTCCATTACCGGCGTCATTATGGTTTTAGGGCAGTGAAGTATCAGTTTGTAGAACTGGCGTACTGTTGTCGTTGTTGACGGTAGTCTAGCAACAGCCAGCATAAAACTAGTTTGACAACTGGAAGTATGCAGTCACCGATAAGACGGAGGCGATAATTTGTAGGTGTCATTTTTGTTCGTCGCAATCAGCCGACAATTCAGATAAGTCAACTACCTATCCGGAAAATCACCAGACGGCCGTTTCGCCCTATTGGGGTTCGTCAGTGATGCGCATCCTTCGGTCCTCTACGGAGGATCGAACCCATGACTGCTAGTGGCTTGTGCCAACTAGTCCGCAGCTTATGCAACTGCGAGATGGAGGACGGTAGCCGACCATCACGAATTGTTAGCTAACTGCGAAATAGCCCGACACATCCTCCACTGCCATGCAGATGACAACGGTTGGCCTTCCGGCGTCAGGACTTCCCGGTTACCGCAGCTATGAATCGACATAGCATCTTATGGAATCCGTAAGGGCGAACTTGTATTACTTATGGGTAGAAGGATTTTGGTGAGTATTTTTGTTCGTCATTTTATGCTTATTCATAGGTGCGCCGTAGGGCTATCCTTCGCAATTATCACCTCACACAGAAGCGCAAATTCTAGCATCCCGTTGGGTAGAAGATAGCGTGCAGCAAGCTCACAATTTGAGTTCGGGTCACTGTTTCTCGCAACCACAACTGCACCCGTGTCCCAGCTTATTTGCTGGCCGAGCAACTGTGTGAGTGTTTGCTCAGATGACATGTACCATCTTATTCAGATGACTTGCGCGGAATGTGGAGAGTTAAGGAAAAAGGAATGCGTCATGGAAGAGTTAAGAAACTACAACGGGCAGCACAAACAGTACTTACGGAGAAGTTTTAAACTGTAATGTTTTCACTCAGTGGGAGAAGTGATGAAAAATGACAATTCGGCGCAAGGTTAACTGGCGCTCACCGAGCTCAAACAAGAGGTATTTGTTTAGTCAAGAGAGTATGGAAAAATAGAATGTCACCTAACATGCGTGTAGATTGAAGTGCAGAATAGTATTGGTGGGATGAGAGGAGAGACCGGATCACAGTTGAGATGGGCCATCTGATGGAACCGGAGAAAAGAACAACATTGAGCAGATTGCATGTTCCAAAAGAAAACCAGGGCTTTCAGTCCGATGAATGAATAAATGCAGATCGAAATTCGGAATGACAGGACTGCGTGTAGCTCGAATTGCGAGCCCCGCTGATATAGAAAGAAAGCAAATGGGACCGGAACATACACAATAATAATAATAATAACAAATGTGAACCACGTCGAGGAGGATGACTGTAGAAATTGCAATGCATGCAGGAAGCGCATCTGGATCTGGTGGAATGACAAAGGGCACAAACAGGAAGTGTAGAGGTTGAACGAGACAAGAATGTACAACATGACGTGAGGGAAATTGATTTTAGACGGGATCCACTGATGACGGATTCATGGGTCCGGCGTGGGGGTGTGGCGAGTTAGCTGCTCCAGCTATGTCTGACTCATAAACGTGGTAACAGTGAAGGTAGCGTCGATGTTGCGCAGGTCGAGGTTGCTGCCGATTCGAATCGTATCCGGCAAATTCTGTCGTCAGTGTGTTGATCGAATGCAGCGTGTCAGGATACTCGGTAGTATCGCCACTGCGAGAAGATGCGGGTAACAGGAATGCAGACCTAGGACCAGGAGCTTTTACTTCAATGAGGTCCTGTGGATCGATGCGTGCCGGGACCGGAGGACACGGATCACTGGGTTGGCGAGGCGCGGGTTTAGTGCTACGGGCAAGAAAGGCAGCAGTCTGCGCGTTTTCCATGCACTGCTCCACTTCGGTCAACATCTGAACAAGCTGCATCTGACTATACTCAGAGCATTCAAAATCATCCGCCATGATACAATGGTTGGAAAGCGGAGCATTTTTTGAACTAGGCGTCTGCTGTCCTTTGCACTGGTAAACGGCCTTGAGTGATTCTTGATGGAGTTGTGAGACGAGCTGCAAAGTGACAGATTGCGGAACACTAAAGCGAGTGGAATGTGCGGGATCAGAGCAACGAGGGATAATAAATGTTACGTTCCAGTTCAATCCAATTTAACGATCTCCTTCAGAGAGTAGAAACGCAGTGGAACGAAATACCAGGTATGCGAAATGGGGAGAGAAATACCGCTGGATTACCAAATAGAAGTGAGACTAAATACATGCTATTTTTTGACCCCTATACCGCGCCACATTCGATGAGAAACCTAACCGCTGATTTGACCAACTCCGTGTGAAATACCCAGGAGGAAAGCGTGCCGTCTGGATCCAATGTCGTGGTCGGCCAGTTCATACATTTTCGCTTCAGGTCACTAGTGATCCAGCACGAATAAGTACCTAGGCAGCCAACATCTGAGCAGGTAGCTGGTAAACTTCCGAAGAAGGTAGCTCAATCATAATGATAGAGATAAGTTTATCCGACTGCCCAGTGCCAACATGGGGACAATGGAACAAAGGGTTATAATGGGCAAAAGAGCACAGGTTTAGAAAGATAAACAAAACACGAAGCTTTAAGCAAACAATTGTTTTCGATTAATTCTTCTTCAGGCTCATACTGTAATATACATTAGGGTAAGGTCTGTTGCAATCGTCAGTACAACAAAGTAACAATTTATCAGAAATTCAAATTCAAATTGTAATCATGATGGCAGTCAGCTGATCACGTGACTGAAGTCAGGTGAACTTGCGGAGTACCATCACTTCCTTCCCGGCTGGTGGTTGGCCACGGAAGTTGTAGTGTTTGTATCAGCTAGAAGCACTTTCACTCGGTCTAAAATTTAGCCATCCGCAAAAGAAATACGATCGTGTTGAAATAGAAACACAGTTTGAACACCTAATCAAGCAGACGAACGACTTGGTGGCCAACTCTGATATGGAACTTGAACAGTTCAAATCAACTTTGGTCAACGTTTCTTTTCAATACCAAAGACAACCAATAGAACACCATCGACTACTGACAAAAGCGCACCTTGATGCTTCGAGAGAACTTCAGAAAAAACGAAGATCTCCTCATAACCAAACCAGACGAAGGATCTGGGACTGTGCTGATGGATCGTGCTGATTACATCAAGAAAATGAATATGATACTGTTGGATACTTCACGTTTCGTGAAATGTGAACAACAGAAAGATAAAACAGAACGTGCATAAAACCAATTGGTCAGGTGTTTAAAATCACTACTGAACGACGGTGCCATCACCAAAGAGACGTATGACCGACTACGTCCCATAGGCTCCACTAGTCCTCGCCTTTATGGCCTTCCAAAAATACATAAACCTGACACACCATTGAGACCCATACTAGATAGGAGGAATTCACCGCACCACAACATTGCGCAATGGCTGACAAAAATGCTGAATCCCATCAAGCAAATGATTGCTCCTCATAGACTGACAGATACATTTCAGTTTGTCAACGACCTTCGAGATATGAATGTCCAAGAGTTCCGGATGTTTTCCTTACACGTTATTTCATTGTTTACCAACGTGTCTCTGATAGAAACAGTTAACTACCTGTGCTCCTACATTGATCAGCATGGCATAAACATTGGTATAAGAAGCAAGCAACTGAAACAACTGATACTCAGATGTATGTACAATGTTCAATTTCAATTCAATAGCGAGTTTTATAGAGAGGTTGATGGCGTTGCGATGGGATCTCCGCTTGGGCCATTGTTAGCGGATATTTATATAGGAATGCTAGAAAGCGGTCCATTAAAGCAGGTCATATCGGGTCTGAAATTCTATCGGCGCTATGTGGATGATATATTTTGTATAAGTGATCGGACCACCAAACCCCAGGATATAATCGACTGTTTCAACAATGTGCACCCCAATGCCGCATTTACAGCTGAGGAAGAAAACAAGAACAAATGAATTTTTTAGATACAAGTCTTATCAGAAGAACCGATGGATCAATCTAAATAAAAGTATACAGGGAATCATACTGGACGGGACAATACATGCACTTTCATAGTTTCGCCCCACTCAGCCAAAAAGAACACTGGTGCGAGCGCTAACCGATCGGGCATACAAAATCTGCAGCGAAGACACCATAAAAGCCGGACTCGTACGAATCAAAGAAACGAAAGGAAGGATAAAACCGATTTTCGAAAAATGGATAAATTTAAATATCCGGAGCGATTTTATCGAGGACCCATTATGAAGATAATGACTTACTAAAAGTACTCAAAACCGAACCGTTGAAAAGAAAACAGCCTGGTACCTGACACTTCCATTTCAAAGGAAATGGTACGGCTGAGTGACATGCCCACGCGTTTCGACTTCCCCCTCCCCCCTTCCTCCACCCCACCTCCCGATGCCCGCCCCCCTCCTCCTAGAGGGGCCAGGGAAAATAAAGAGAGGCTGCAATAGACCTTTTTTAATGCCGGCTCAGCTGAATTTGTTGTGATTTTCACGAGCAGACCTTTATAGTTTCCGAGATTTAGAGCC